CGCTCTCGAGCCGCGGTTCAGAGCGGAGCCAGCGACGGACGGGGCGGGGAGCAGCATTGAGAGAAATACTCAGGAACCTTGTGGGTTTAATTACCGCCACTAAAAGCCATGCCAAACCCACTTTCTTTGGGTAATCCACTTTTGTGAGTTTCTCTGGGCCCTATTAATAGTCTGGAAGAAATACTAATGACTGACCTTGTGCAATCAGCTCTTGACATTTAGAGCAGCCCGCGTTTTGTACCTAGAGGGCTCTGATGTACTGAGACACGGAGAGCGCTGGCACAAAAAGAGAATCTAAGAAACAGCGCAGAAAACCGGCAGCCTGTTAGCAGGCGAATCCCTTCCCAGGGAGCCCTTTCCCTGCGCTGTGAATCTCATTTCAAAGACAGCAAATGTAGAAACGTCGAGATTGTCCTATTGAAGCCTGGCACCCCAGAGGCGCGCGTAGCGGCCGAGTCGGACGCGCAGGCATTACGGCGGCTGCTCGCCTGCCCGCTCTTTGCTGCTGGCGTTGCAGGTGGTTGTCGAGTGTCAGGTTTTGAAATCCCCCAGAAGATCTAATTTTTTATAGGTTTCCCTTGCTGTCATTCACAAAGGCCCAGCATCTGGCTTATATGAAAGCCTTCCAGATACTTCTTCTGGTTATGGTCATTGTTTTGAGTATTCATGTTCTCTGGTTATTCAGATTCTTCCTCAAATTCCTATGGTACTCCAAAACCCCCCCAAAGGCAATGGTTGCCAAACACTTCTGCATGTTAAACTGAATATCTTTTTCCGTACAATTCACAAAATGTGAATACTGCCCAAAGCAAAGACTCGCTTTCCGTCGCCTGGATGCTGGTGACTGTTGGCTCAGCCACGCAACCTGGCTTGGGCCCTCCGTGTCTGGTTTTCTTCACGCCAGTTTGTGAGGTTTTTGCCTAACTGACTTTAAGCCCACTTTCCTCCTCCCAGGCTCTGTCTTCTGGTGAGGAGCACCTGATGAGCAGCATTTTGTCACTCTCCCCTTCTCAAGTGTTTTCTCGGTAAAGGCTGACGTCCCGGCGCCAGGTCCGCTGTAGGTGCAGGTGCCCCACGTGGCCGTAGTGACCCTTCCGCGTCTTGCCGGTGGGATTGGCTTGTGAGCGAGCGAGGGCTAAGGGAACCGAACACGTGCAGCGTGGTGAAGCGAGGGCTCCGTGCGCCGGGCTCAGGTGTGAGCACCGAGGAGAGGAGGTGGGTGACGGGTGATTTTCTGTGTGCTGTGGGAGGAAACGGAGCAGAGGAGGAAACAAAACCAGCAGGAGTTTACTGCTTTGCAAAGCAGTAAACTATTAAACTTTTGCCTGCCCTCCCAAGGGAAGCAGCAAAAACATCTATTCTTCCATCCTTTAAAAGGGCACTAGACTTA